AAATTTTAAAACAAGCCCCAAATCAAATAAATACGTAACACAAATAAAAGAAATCTCTTCATATAAACAAACTAAGGCTTTGTCTGTGCTCTTTCCTTTTAAAATTAGAGGCAAAAACGGCATTTTAATCATGATCCAAACAAAGATGCTGCATACATGCAACATGAGCAGTTTTTAATCTAAATTAGATTGTATGATCTCGAAATTTGAAGTAAAAACAGAATGGTTTGACTTCAGTTTTGTGAAACTATGCATAAAAAATATCTGCATGAAACCGAAACGGCAGACGAGCTGAATGAGATGCACATTCACCCTCTGCCAGCAGGTGGCGCTTAAAGCGTTTCCTTGCTTTCCGCTGTAAACAAAGCAGCGCTGCACTTATGAACTTTAATATGCATTATACAGAGGCAAGAGGAAACGAAAAAATACCATCTAAACTTTTCTAAAGACAGTCAGTTCCCCTCAAACATACATTCATATAAATTCCTACCTCTAAATGAATCATGATTTGTTTAGCATCTCAACTGATTTGAATCGTCACATATTTGAATCGATTTTCAACCGGCTCACGGTTAATCGTTACATCCCTAGTTAACACTAAATATACTGTATGGCACCATGTTTGCCTGGGAAGAATCAAGCACACATGTTCCAGACTGTTCCCTCAGCAACTCACAATCTCCAAGGTGTGTATGTCGATCAACACCATGGGAAACTCAATGATTTCATGCAGGTAGTCAGGTGGGTTATTCTCTTCACATGTTGCTTCAAAATCCACCACACAGATGTAGTCAAAATATGTATCAGTGTTCCCATTTGCAGCAGCTGAATGCATCAGTTTTTGCTTTTTGTAGTAACTTTTTAGGCGCTTCCTCAGGACATCCTTAACTCCCCTGAAAAGAAACAAACTGTATGAGCGAATCTGGAGTAAAAGCCAGGTAAAACAAAAACAATAAAAGCTCTCTACCGCGTGTCAAGCTTCAGCTCAGCACATTTCACACGCAGCTCATCTCTGTTCATTCGGTTGATGGCGCCATTTGCCACTGCGATCTCTTTATATACCGGATCACTGAAATCTCCTTGTTTCGGTGATGAAGGCTTCTGCTTCTCATTTTTTTCACAGGAAGTCTAAATGTGAAACAAGGAAATACATTTTTTTTAGTGTTAGTGTTGTTTCATCCTTATGTGTTTATGCATTTGTTTCTTAATCAGAGAGAAATTTAACATTACATCACTTGCTCACCAATGGACCCTCTGCAGTGAATGGGTGCCGTCAGAATGAGTGTTCAAACATTTGATAAAAACTTCACAAAAATCCACACAACTCCAGTCCATCAATTAATGCCTTGTGACGTGATATGCTTCATGTTTCTAATGAATAAATTCATCATTAAGATGTTTTTAACTTCAAATAAGTCCTCTATCCACAATATCACTTTCTCCAGTGAAAATGTCGTCTCTTCTGAAGCAGGAGAGAACTATACTGTGCACAGATCAAGCACAGTTTACAACTGAAAACAGTGCAGCTAAACAAATATGTCAGTAGGCTTTTTCACTGGAGGAAGCAATACAATGGACTGTGAAGCGACGGCATGAAGTTAAAAACATCTTAATGATGGATTTGTTTATATCAAACAACAGCGTTTCACTTTGCAAGACATTAAATGATGGACTGGAGCTGTGTGGATTAGTACTTGTGTATTATTATGATATTTTTATCAGCAGTTTGAACTCTTATTCTGACGGCACCCATTCACTGCAGAGGATTCACTGGTGAGCATTAAACGTATTAATATTTTTAATGATGACCAGAGGGTTAAAAAATGTAAGTACATTTACATTTGGGGTGAATCACTCTAAAACAGTTAAAAGCAACTAAATAATACATATTTCTACTAAATATGAGTCAAAACAACACCTAACATAAGCCGACACTGACCTGTAATATAAATGATAGTGACTGTAACTCTCACAAAAACGTTAAATATTAGGAATGCATTATTTTGCCAGAGCTATAACTTAACGTACTCCGGCAATATTAGACACTCACATTCGCGCAGCAGTCCTCCTCTTCATCATTCTCAGACGCTGGAGTCTTATTTGCAGATTGACTGGTCTTCTTCTGCGACTCCATCAGTTTTGATAATTCAGTTAATTTCAGAAACACGTAACGTTAGCCTACGTTGTATCTGGTTTGGCGCGTTCACGCTCGGTGTCTCTTACGTAATCCGCTCCGGGCGAATGATAACAACCCTAATGCTTGTCTATATTTCTCAAGTTTCTTTTTTGTACATTGTACTTAAAATTAGCCCGTTTGCAAAGAATTGAACTTCTGAGTAGCTGCGGTTTCTTAAACGTGAACCAAGTAACAGACGCTGGGCCTGACGCTTCAACGTACACAGGAAGTAGTCATTGAAAGGTCGAACAATTATAGAATAAAAGCCCCTTCACATTTATTTCTTTTTACTTAGTTTTGTTACAAGTTAATTCGTTGTTACATAAAAAAAGACTTTTTATAATTCCAAATTAAATATCCTCTCAAAGTGTGTAAGTTTCTCCTATCTGAGGTTAATCAATCTGCAGAGACCAAGTAGTGACACTTGCAATATAAAAAAGGGGGGGGGGGGAAATCACTTGCAATATTATCCCCAAAAAACCACACACAATTCTCCTTGGTGTTGCTAGTTACGTAATTATATGTCATCTTTAAATGAGGACAATTTAGATAAGTATTTTTTGCTCCAATACTTTATTTGAAGGTTTCAATGACAAAGAACATTTAAAACATTGCATTAAAATGCAGATAATGAACATACCGAATACCATTGAGAGAACTTTTTTTTAACAATGTCTTTAAAGTGGTTCTGGCAAACCCGTATTCACACTCAAACAATGCAATTTAAAATGGGTGACAAGAAGTTAAACAACAAATTAAAGTGCCTACATTACCTTGAACAAATGATACACATTACATATGAACTTGTATCACTAATATCATCATCCTGTTGTGCAGTCAATCACAGTGAGAATCAGTCATAGTCAATTAAAATAAAGAAATGTAAATACTTTTAGAGTTTTACATTAAAAATGAGCTGTTCAGGAAAGAACAAAAACATATGAAAGAATTCGTATACATATATCCAGGCAGAGTACAACTCTGGTCTCACATTTTTTGGGGAAAAACACCGAGTTCTTTTTGGGTCATTCTGTCTTTGCTCTTAGCAAGGTTTTTCAGATGAAAACCATTTGCTGCTCTCAAAATTTTATGATCATGATTTACAGTTTAGCAGATATACTGGCCTGCAGATTTACTTGGACTTAATTCATTAACATTGTATAATTTTATAAAGGTCCACGCAAATCCATACAAACCGAAAATCAACCTTGAAAACTTTCACATAACCCTGCACAGAAACTAGCATTAATGCATTTGACAGGCACTGAAAAAACAAACAAATTTACCCTCAATTACATTCATATAGCACCATAAACACTATTTTTAAAAACATAACTCATTCTCTATTGAACAACATAATCCAATATTATTGACGATAGATATCTCAAGTGTCCATAAGGCTTCACATTCCAACAGGTCCTTGGTCAAAGACCAGCGTGTTTTTTTAAGGAGACATTTATCACAATGTTTGATGGATATGTGTGCAGGATAAACTGTCCCAAAAGTGGATTCTTAGTAATATGGACCGATGTCTTCATATCCAGCATAGCTTGGCCAATTGGGAAAGATTCCACGTGAGCATCTGGGGCTGCCGTATCGGTCAAAAAGAACGTCCCAATCGCTCACACCATATCGCTGGTGGTCAACCATAGAGTCATTTGAACTCTTCTTTAGTGCTGATTGAACAATTCTGTAATTCTGTCCTTGGTTGTTGTCCCAGAGCGTTACGCCATTGACCTCATAGCAAATGGCAAACTCGATGCGTTCATGTGGAGGCACCTGATCAGGCAAAGTAGCTCCGAATGAAAAGGTGTCACGGTTTGAGCCGGTGTAAGTGTCCTTTACGTACTGGCATTCTATGTCTGTGTGACTTTTCCAAGTGTCAAACGTAATGCGAAGCTTAACGGACTTCTCAAAGGAAAGGTTTTTGACTTTGACCGTCCCTGCTATAGATTTTTCCTTAATCATGCAGTGTTCGAGGCAGAGGTTTTCATTCTCTATACGTTGACGAAACTTTAAGTAGTCTGCAGACGGCTGGTCAAAGTCGAGGGTTAGCTTGTCCTTCCCTTCTGGCAGAGTCACCAAAGAGCTAAAAAACTGCACAATGTTGGTTGGGATGTCAATAGGGTCATCAAATTCAGAAAATACCTTTACCATCGTCAGGGCGAGGCCCTTGTGATCAGCAAAAGATACTTGTTTTTTGGCCCTGCCAGGTATCGCCACGTGTGCGCTGGCCCTATTCAACTCCAGCTGCTCCCTCGGAGAGCCGAAACTAAGTTTGGTACTTTGACACCGGTGCAGACATGGCCGCAAGGGCCTGCTGTATTTAGTCACCCTCGGGTTCAGGAACTCTTCGTTTGTCAGATAAATCGGCATGGCGAGTTCAATCGGCATGCTGGGTTCGTTGGGACGGCAGTCACGTGCACTGAAAATGCAGAAATTTGTATTAATAACCACATTACTACAGTGAGAAAGGTCTGTCCAGGTCTGTGAATGTTGGTTGAAATCCGATGAAATCTTCCAATATTTGACTAATTCAAATTTCACACTTGTACTTTATTATAGCACAGCATGAAATCTCCTTAACATATATACTCGGTTTAAAATAATCAAATCATTATGCACAGCAAACAGGGCTTAATATGGACTCAGAATCAAATAATTAAACATTAAGCAAAAGATTGCAGGCGGTGGGTCAAACAAGTTTATCTAAACTGGAGGCCAGGGAGAGGGGTTATGGAGCAGCATATGGAGAACCAAAGAGACTGAACTACAAAAGATATTGAGTACCCTCTAGTGTTCATAATTTGTAAAACATTTCATCCAAAATCATTAAAAGACAAGAATCTTAATCTTTACGACAAACAACCTGATTTTCAGACAAGATACTATCTAAGGGTCACTAAAAAAGGGAAATTTTGTTTAGAACCCCCCCCCCCCAATTTTCAGACTGGCGAGTATTGTAACACGGGGTGAGCTGCAACACTAGCAGTTTAACGAAGGAATGTCAAACTCGGTTCCTGTAGGGCCACAGCATTGCAGAGTTCAGCCCCCTCTCTAATTAAACACACCTGAACCAGCAAACCAATGTCTTTGGGATTACTTGAAAACTAAAGGTTAGGTGTGTTGGAGCAATTTGGAGATAAACTCTACAGGACTGTGGCCATCCAGGAGCTGAGTTTAACATCCCTGTTTTAAACAACTAGAAATCAGTTACATACATTTCTACTGCAGATGAGCAGCAACCACCTAAGGTGACAGTAGATCAGGGTTTCTCGAACCTGAGAGAGTGCAGAGTTGATCTAAACCCCCGATCAAACTCACCCTACCTGTGGTTTTCTAGTGATCCTGAAGACATTGATTAGCTTGTTCAAGAGTGTTTGATCGGGGTTGAAGCTCAACTATGCAGGGCATTGGCCCTCCAGGGCAAGACCTGAGCAACCCTGGAGTTGATGATGCAAGACAATAAACCCATTAATAAATATGGGTTTACAGGACAAAATAGAATTGCCATATAACTTGCACAAGATTTTCATCTACATGAAAATCTGATAGAAATGTCATAGCTGAGGAGATGGGGAGGGTTGACACCATTTTACAGTGTACTTCCCATATAGATTGTAGATTGCTGGCCTATATTTGCTACAATAGTTAGAATAACTAACCTATAAAAAAGGTATGTTTTTTGCTTTTTGGGAGTGTTTTTTTGTTTCCATTTCCTATATTTCTATTCATCTACATGAAAATCTGATAGAAATGTCATAGCTGAGGAGATGGGGAGGGTTGACACCATTTTACAGTGTACTTCCCATATAGATTGTAGATTGCTGGCCGATATTTGCTACAATAGTTAGAATAACTAACCTATAAAAAAGGTATGTTTTTTGTTTTTTGGGAGTGTTTTTTTGTTTCCATTTCCTATATTTCTATTCAATTTTAAACTATTTTCAACACTACTTTGAACAAGTAAATTCTGTGATTAGGCCCTACCACAATAAACTCATGTACACAATTTAAAACGTCTAGCAGTGTGTTTGGTTGTAACAAGAGCACTCTTTGTAATTTTACATTAATTTACACAATGTAAATGTAAGCAATAGGTTTAAAATAAATACATTTAAATAAATTTAAAAAAACTTTAATTTATAGACGGCAAATTCTGAGAATATAATTTCAAAGAGTCAGACAAAAAAAGCTCCCAAAAATCTCTTGTATCCATATACGGTCAGGAACAATGAAACATTGTTCCAGTCTGTCTAGGTGAGGCGCGAGAAAGATTAGCTTTAGATTAAAACAGAAAATGGTGATTTGAAATAATAGGCAATGGCAATTAGCTTTAGAACCAAATGCTTTCGCACCTGTTGAAGCTCATTTGCAGTTGCAACTTTCGCCCAGGTCCAACATACCATCACGCTTTATCATACTGCTGCCTTCGTTTCTGATCAACCCCTCCTCTCTTAATCTTTGATTTTGATTTTTTTTATCCCAATGTTATGCAAGATTGCTTTCCTTTTCCATATCTATTAAAAACGTTAAGCCTAATATCATATGTCGCTCTGCGTCATGGTCTTCCTGGTTTGCAGCCGTTTCCCTGGGCACGACCATGTTTAATAAAAGTTTAGATTAAACATCTCTGCGTGCTGGAACACGAATCAACTCAGCGCTCTTCCAGTGCTCTTTAAACTGATCCAGGGAAGCAAATCGAGAGCATAAGTTCATGCATACCTGTGTCACGGCATTTAAGCTGGGTCAAACTTCTTCACCAAGCCCAGTGTCTCGTGTTAGTGAATGCAGCTTCAGCTCACTAGAGTAATACGCTCGTGCTAATGTGCGTCCGGAATGAGCGAGCCTTCCTATCTGTACCGGCCGGCACCAAAATTACATTTTTGCCGATGATCAGCCCGTGTTCACGTGAACTACCTGTTTGGACCAATCACGGCAGGCTACAGGGGCATGCATGCACCCAATGCTGATCAATGGCATGTCACGTGACTGCAAAGACTAGGGGTCAGTAGGCCATGTCTGGAGGCCCCCTGTGTTTTAAAAATATCCACCACTTTTACTTCCATAAACATGAACCCACTAACTTCTAAATGCTTTCACATTCTATGACCAGTGCAGATAATGTTTCAGTTCATTCCCATTAGTTATTCTGGGATTATTGTGTATCTGTGTTAACATATGTGCATTGAGAATGGAAATGCAAAGGAATGTGTTCAGCACTGTTGTCTAGTAGGGGACAAGCACTCTTGAAACTGATTTGTTTGACATCCATGGTTGTTGACTAGTTGTATCATGTGACCTTTTATCACAATTCAGACTTTTTTCTTGCATTTCTGAGTTTATATATCACAATTCTTTCTCACAGTTCTAAGAAAAAAGTCTGAATTACACAATATAAACTCAGAATTGTGAGATATAAACTCACAATCGTGTTAAAAAACGTAGAATTGTGAGATACAATGTCAGAAAAGTATACGCTTGCAATTGTAAGACAAAAAGTCCGAATTTTGATTAAATAAGAATTGCAAGATGTAAACTCAGAATTCATAGGGGAAAAGTCTGAATTGTGAGAGTTGTGAGAAAAAAAGTCAGAATTTCACAATATAAACTCACAACTCTAAGAAAAGTCAGAATTGTAAGATAAAGTGTCAATTACTTTTTTTTTTTTTAATTCTGTACCAGAAAAAAAAAACAGATTTGTGGGATAAAGTCAGAATTCTCAGAACAAAGTCAGAATTGCGAAATGCAAACTCGAATGTCTGAATTGAGAAATAAAAAGTATTTTTTTTTAAATCCTGTGGTTGTAATGTTCTTAGTTTCTGGCCTTTACTAGCATAAATCAATCTAAAATGAGTGTCCAACATGCCAATCACATGTAGATGAAGTCAAAGCAACATGCAATGAAAGAAAAATACTGACTACTGTCTGTCAACAGCGAAACAGAATCTAGCTGATTTTGGCTCAGGAAATTGTGGTGTCAGTAATTAATCTAATATCCTATCTCTATCACTGTGCATAGCATGCAAGTCTATTTGGACAATTTAAAAGGTTAAGTAAGGTAAATACAGTATTTTGATCATGTGCATAATTGTGTGCATCACCTCTAAGCAATGTTGTGTTCAAACATCCTTTCTCTGCTCCCAAAATCCCAATATTTTACTTTATAGTGGACTTTATTAAGACTCTATTTCCTAGTGTTTAAAATGTATATATATATATATATATATATATATATATATATATATATATATTAATCTTAAAAAAATAAAGCATACACATAAACCCAAATAGAAAATAAAAGTAGTTATCAAATAGGCATGTGTCCTATTCTGTGTTCTAAATTCCTGAAACATTGATGTCTCATATTTTAAAGCAGCCAATGCAATCAAATCTGTATGTGTGAAAATATTCAGATGTAACCCTCTTTGTAATCGTTAACATTTTCATAAGCAACTGTAATTTAAAGGGTTAGTTCACCCCAAAATGAAAATTCTGTCATCAATTACTCACCCTCATGTCGTTCCAAACCCGTAAGACCTTCGTTCATCTTCGGAACATGAATTAAGATATTTTTGATGAAATGTGAGAGCTCTCAGACCCTGCATAGACAGCAACACAACTGTAATGTTCCCAGGTCCAGAAACGTAGTAAGAACATCGGTAAAACAGTCCATGTGACATCAGTGGCTCAACTTACTTTTTGAGCTCAAAGAAAACAAAAAGAACATAATTTATTTAACAATTCTTCTCCCCCGAGTTACGTCTTCCGTCATTTTGGAGAGTAGCCAAGAGTGTAATCGAAGTAATCAGGGTTGTTTACGTTCAGGGGAAAAGCGCGCATGAACAATCGGTGTAATCAGCGTTGTTTACGCTTAAGGGTGAAAGTGCGTATGCATTGTGATTAGGGTTGGGTACCGAACTCGGAACTTTTAAGGGTACCCACCGAATTGCGTCGGTACTACCGAGTACCGATTCACGTTAAATCAATCGGTGCTAAATTTCGGTACCTGAGAACGCATCTGGGCGCATATGCTACAGAGAGAGAAAGAGAAACCCTGTGACGTGAGGTCACCCCTGCAACTCGTTCAAAAAACACACAGGGCAATCCGAAATGTTCTGAAGTGTGGTTACATTTCTAGGGCCATATGGTTTCTGAGAAAACGTGGACGGGATCGTGGAGGCCATTCATAAAAACGTAAGTTACTCTATAGTGCAGAATGCCACGGAATTCGTCAACTTTGGACGAATAAATCAAAAGTAGCCACTGCCACTTAATTCGAATCACGATATGAACTAGTGTCTGTGAATATTAAAATGTAAAAAGACGGTTTAAATATGAGTCCTGCATGTTCCCCTTGCCTCTGTAAGTATGAATGGCGGAAATGCGGTTTTGTTTACTACACAAATACTGAAGCACGCTTGACGCTCGCGGTGATTTCCGGCCTCTGTGTCTCACTATATGATGGCATGAACACAAAAACTTAATCTCCAGAGCTGCTGTGAGAGTCACTTCGCGAGAATTTTACAGTTTCATTTGAGAAAACTAGCGTCATCATACTGTATACACACAGAAACTTCATGGCCACCTCTCAAAATAAAAGTACGGTTTAACATGTAACAGAAATATATTACTCTTGTATTACTTTTGTACAGTATAATGTACATATTTAACTATTCCATTTTCTATCAAATTTAAATAAAACAATTAAATGATCAAATAAAAATAAATATTACCAGATGAATCACTTGTAGAAAAAAATAATACAATTATTAGTCTATTAAAAAAATGTTTTAAAGGAATATTCACACAAATTTTCTTCCATGTATTAATTTCAACATTAAACCTCAGTTTGTTTGTAAAAAATAAAAGGGTTTAATTTTCATTTGATTTAAAATAAATGTTTAATGCCTT